CAGTCTTTCTGTCTCATGCTCTGTCTTGATTCTACTGTAGTCACATTTCCACTGCAGAGAAGTACTCTAATGTTAAAATGAGAGTGTGTGTGTGTGTACACACACGCACGCATGCATGCTTGTGTGTGCTTGGCTTGAGTTTCTAGCAGAGCAGGGTAGGGAGGGCTGTATGTGTAATACTTTTGAAGCTTTAGTTTGCAGTGCAAGAAAATCTTCCACCTAAGACTCCTTGGGGTCCTGAAGACTCTGGTCCTTGCAGTTTGTTGGCATCAAAGATCTGAAATGTCTTTTTTTCTCATTTTTAAAGTATAATTGGACATATGGACAGCATTGTCATAACCTATATTTTTGGGGGTTATTTGTCTAAGTTAACTTGATAGAATTTAAAAAATTTAACCATGTAGATTCAAATAAGGGACTCATCGTTCTGTATGTTACTTGAATTGCAGGGTATAGTACTTTTGTATTGCTAATGTAAATTGCGATTAAAAGTTGGGAAACCTGGTAAGAAAAGTCAGCTTTTTTTTTTGTTTTTAATGGTAAAGCTGACATTTACAACAGTTTGTAAACTCCCAAAACGGTTTCTGTCATGTTAACACATTTCCTTTTAATCAACTTGAAATCATGACAGTTAGACAGGGAATCACAGCCTAATATTTGCAGTCATTCTCCAGGCAGAAGTTTTGTGAAGAGTTTGAAACTGACAATTTGTAAATTTGTTTTGTTTTTTTAAAATCTTACTCTGGCTTTTCCCTTTGATTTTAACCCCACAGCAACTGGAGAAACAGAGATAGTAGAAACTACAGATGCTGGAGAATCTGAGATAACCAGGTATAGAGCTGGATGAAGAAGGGTCTAGGCCCAAAACATCCAGCTCTACACCTTGTTAACTGGAGAAACAAGTCTTTCTTTTTTTTTGTAACTTAGAGTAGTAATCAAATGTGGTTAGGTTACAAAATTTCTGACCAACATAAAAGGCTTTCTTTTTTTTCAAAAGCATCTTTCACAACTACTGGATGTTCAAAATCACTTTATAGCAAATACTTTTGAAGTAAAGTCATGGTTGTAACATCTCAACAACAGCGAATCTAGCCATTGTCCTTTTGAAATTCAATGGCATTACTTTGATTGTGGGGGATTCAGCAGTGTCCTGAGGGGTTACCATTGGCCAGAGGCAGAAATTGAACGCTATATAGATACTGTGGCTGCAAGACCAGGTCATTGGCTGGAAATTGTTATTCCTCTATTTTTTTTTTCTGCCGTACCTGGCCTCCATCTCAAAGGCACACAGGAGTGCAATGACTTGTCTGGATACATACAGCTCCAAAGACGACGACAAGCTGTTTTATCATCCAGGGCAAAGCAGCCAGCTCGATTGTCATCTCATCCACTGCTTTCAGCACTCGCAAAGGGAGCAATATGTGCTATCTACACTTATAGTTGCCAGTCAAACGTCCTTGAACATTAGCTTCCAAATTTGTGTTCTCTACATGTGATGCAGGAGCACCAGATGCCTGGGAACATTGCCACCTACAAGTTCCCCTCCAAGCCACATGCCCTGCTCTGGCTAAGAACTTGATTGCTGTTCCTTTTGTCACTATGTCAAAATCCTGGAAATCCCTTCCTAACTTTGGCTGTACTAACTATATCACATTGGACTGCAGCAGATCAACAAGGTGATTTACCATCACAGTCTCAAGCAATTGGGGTTGGGTATCGAACTTTGGTCTACTGATGATTCCCATATTCTGCAAACTAACTTTCAAAATAAACACATCTCCTGCAATGATCAGTGCAGTAAGGATTTGATCTGTTTTATGATAATTGAGATAAATATTGGTTGGGATATTGGAGAGAACTCCCAAGCTCCCCTTCAAAACAGTGCCACAAAATGTTTTTAATCCACCTAATAAGGCAGACAGAGCCTTGATTTAGCATTTTTGTCGGAAGGATAATACATCCCAGTGGATCAGTGCTGTACTGAGGTTTCTATTTTTGATTTTTGTGCTTGAGACCTGGTATGAATTTTTAACCCTAAAACCTTGTGTGATGCTTCGGCTGGGGTGCTACCAGTGAAGCCACAGCTGCCATCAGTTTTTGCATCCCAGTAGTTGGTGTTTTCTATTTGTTGCTAGTGCTCCTAAAGAATAAATAATTTGATCAGGGGAACCAATGGTCTACGATTATCATTCATGGTGACAAAGGAAATTTATGAACTCTCTTTATGCTTTTTTAGAAATAAGGATAGAAGAGCAGAAGAAGGATTCTGAGGTGATTCTTGGTGGGGAGGAAGGGAGCCAAGTTATTATCTTTGTTCTGTGTCATTCTAGACTTGTGTGGTTTTAGCAGAAAATGTATGCACGTATTGTGTGTTAAATATTCAAATCCGAGCCTGTTAGACTTGAGTGGGCATGGGGTGGAGTAGTACAGTTTGAGGAACAACTGGGCTGTGGATTGATTTTGCTGGGAGCAAAGTTTCCAATGTTGGAAGAGAGATCAAATGAGCAGCTGTAAGGATGTTGCGGCAAGTGGTGGGTCAAAGGCTTGCAGTTCAAGGCTCAAGAAGTGCTGATGTAAGCTGCACAGAAGGTTTTTTTTTCTTCCTGCGTGAGTCCTTCAAGGAAGTGGTTGTTAGTCTTGTTTCAGTCATGATCATTGAGAAAGAATCCTTCGACAATTATAGTGCCCAACCCTACAATGCAGGTAGATACTGAGCTACCTTTTTTGTATTACTATGAATAGATTTGTTTCCAACAAAATAATTTCGACACAAATTGTTTATGGCCGATTTGAATCGAACAGTAGTCGCTAATTGCATCTCCTTTTACTGAAGGAAACTGATTTTTCTTTGTATCTCCAAAATGTATGCAATTCTCTCCTCTTTGGTTTACTCTTTACTGTATCAAATGGATTGTTATTGCTCCCAGGGTACTTACAATTCCCTGATCACTTTATTTTGTCTACAGTTAACAATAACATATTGGCAGTGACAGGATATTTTTTTAAACTTAGAAGAGCTACCAAAATAGCCATTTCATGGAAACTGGAGAAATTAAGTTGAGTTAAAAATGTTGCGGAGAAAGAGTGCCGAAAATGTGTTAAATCCAAACTGATGAACTTTGTAGTGTTTTAATACCGTGCCACCATATGGCAACAATTTTTTTTTTTTTGAGAAATGCAAATGGTAGGACATTGCCTGTAAGACCCAGATGATTTTTGTGATCTTTTTGTTGTCCATGTGTTGAGGGATGAATGGACAGGGAGAGATTGTTGATTCAAGGAAGCATGTAATGTGGAGGTGGCAAAGTTGGTGAAGATCGGTGTTTTTTCTTAAAGCGCCTGCACACTGGTCAAATCAGTTGTGACCGTTTGTTTTGCACAGCTATTGTGTGTGGTGTTCCAGAGGGTTGGAAACTGAGTCTTGTCTTTTCGAATAACCAGCAGCGAAATGTTGACCCAGATTTTGCAGTCAGTGTTGAATAAATTGTGCCAAATATTCAGTTTCGTTTACGTACTAGACGTTGGTTTCGCCATTTCTAATCATACAGGGGTGTTAGGGGTTAGGCAGTGGCAAAGTGGGTGAGGTCATTGGATTAATAATCCAGAGCACCAAACTAATGGGGACTGGTGTTCAAATCCCATGTGGAAATCTGAAAGCAATAAACATCTGAAATTAAAAGCTGGCCTAATGGTAACCATGTAACAATTGTTCTTTATTGAAGCAATGATTTTTTTTCAATATAAAAATAATATCTCTTTTTTTTTGAAGAAAGAAAATCTTGTTAAGGTCTGGTCAACATGTGACTTCAGACCCCTCTCAAAGAGTGGCTGTGAAGTAGCCCAGCGCAGGCATTTTAAGAGGACTATTTGCCCAGAGGATGATGCATGCTGGCCTTGTCAATGATGTCCACGTTTTGTACAAGAATAAAAAAGATTTGAATAGGACAGATAACTATGCATCTCCTTAACAGGTCAAATTGAAGATTTTAAATCTGCAATTCAGAATCTAAGCAAGATGGTGTAAATCAAACATGTTTATATCATGAGAGAAGTGAAAGAGCAAGTGAGAAAGATGGAGTGAAGTGAATTTTCTTTTTAAATTCTCCAACAACCATTTAATCCTGAAGGGTTGGACTCCTGTCCCAGATCCTCCATTCCCCAGATTCTGTGTCTCTGAGCTTGGATGCAAGCTGGAACGTGTGTCTCAGGACCCCCTTAAAGTCATGACCCCTGATAATTTGCTGAAATTGCATGGGAAGTTTTAACCTCTAAAGGCCTCATTTTCTGCGGCCTAGAGCCCTCCTTTTGAAATCTAACCACTGAGTTCAAGGTCAGAATCTTGAGCCAGAAATGTGAGAGACCCTGGATATTTACTGTGAAAATTTTAGGCTGGTTAATAGCTAGTCATAACTCTGATTAGCCAGAAAAACTGAAATGAGGAGCACAGCAATCTCAGATTGTTGCCTGGGAGAGGGATGGAGTCATCAACCAGGATGGAGAATTCTCGTGCATAATAGCATCTCTGACGTCAGAATTCTCATTACCTTGTTTTAACTTGGAGCAGCTAAGCATGTATAGGATTTCCACTTGAATGCCAGTGAGTACTAAGGCTCACCATTATTTGAGTGTAAAGTCCGATGAGTCGAAAGGAAAATAGAGACAGACACCCGGCTCTCCAATTTTAGCGAAACAAATGCATATAGAAATGAATGTTAACTCGGTTTCAAACTAGACTGCTTTCAAAATAGCCTGTCAAAGAGCAACTTCCTCTTTGGATTGTCGATTTCTTATTGTTCTTTATGTTCCTGACATTTGCATTGCAGTGTAAAGCAGTTATACACATTTGTGCTAAGTGTCTTTATGAATTGGAACTGTTTTTCTATTCATTACTATTTTTAGCACCAGAGCATAATACTGAACTATTTTTTGTTGTATAATATTAATGGGCTAAATGGTGACAATTTTAATCTTATTTTGAATGTTGTGTATTCTGCTTTCAGCAATTGAAACCCCCTGCACCTGTAAGTACAAGGATAGAAGAAAAGCAAGCTTTTGACATTGAAATTGAAATTCTAAAGCTTTATTTGTCTCAAATAATGTGTTAATAACAAAATTTCAAGACCTCCAAGAAAGAACATCTGAAGAAGAGCTTATGCCTTGGTTTACTGATAAACCCACACGTGAATTTGTGATGAAGTCTACTGAGAGCACCATAACGCAAACATCTGAGGATGTCAAAGATGATGTGAACTTAACACTTGATGAATTTTCGAACCGAAAAAAGTCTGTTGAACACCATTGCTCAATTTGTGACCAGTGTTTTCCTTTTGATAGTCTTTTAACTCAACATATGCACATGCATTCAAATGAAAAGCGTCCATTTTGTGATCGTAGGATTTCCCAGAAAGCAAATTTGAAAATTCATCTTCAAAAGCACAAAGTGGACCATTTGCAGCAGGGTAGAAAATCTGGAAGAAATAAGGCCACTCTATCTACAAGCTTTGAAATCCCAAATGCTCAGTCTAATAGAATTTGTCCGAATGATGTTGAAATCAACGAGATTGATGTTAAGCCAATAAATGGTGTTGCTTTGACCCTGGATGCTTTGGAAGGAAATACTGCAGTTCATGCTGAAGAGCTTCCACTTCTGCATTGTATGTTTTGCAATAAAGGCTTTCAACACTCTGAAGAACTCCGTCACCATGTAGTAATTCAGCACAGGCCCACGCTATGTGAGCCTGCAGTCCTCCGAGTAGAGGAGGGTTTGAGTCCTGTGGTAGAGACACACATTACAGCAAGTTCTCCAGAACAGGAGATTCATGATGAAGGTGAAGATGGTGAACTCAGTTGTAAAGTGTGTGGACTGTCTTGTGAGAGTGCTGTGAGTCTGGAAACTCACATGAGGAAACACAAGGATTCATTTATCTATGGTTGTAATGTATGCGGCCGACGCTTTAAGGAGCCTTGGTTTCTTAAAAACCACATGCGAACGCATTCGAGTAAAGCTCGGGGAAAATCTCAGCCAGATTCAGAAGGTCCTGTGACAATCAACAATGTCATTATGCAGGAACCAGTTTCTGGAAATGTTGTATCTCCTTATAAAATGTGCATGGTTTGTGGATTTCTTTTTCCCAATAAAGACAATTTGAAGGAACATAGTAAAGTTCACAACAAAGACTTGCCTGATGATGATAGAATGGATGATTGTTCATTAAATCAAGAAATTGTGGTACCACAGGAGGCATTCCTGCAAATGCTACATTTACGTCCCCTCTTATCTCAAAATTGCAAACCTGTGAAACTTGGAAAATGGATACCCGAACTTGATCCCTTTAATACGTACCAGGCCTGGCAGCTGGCCACCAAGGGTAAAGTGGCAGTTGGCCGAGAGAACGTGAAAGATCCAGGGCAAATAGCCAACTCTGAGAATGAGGAGGAGCCCTCGGACAAAGAGGATTCCAGCGAACATTGGACCTCCGATAAAGGCCATCATGGTGCTACCGTGGAGACCCTTGACAAGGCTAAAATCAAAAGCAGCAGTTTAGGCCAGAGTGGGCCACCCACTGTGGGTGATGTTGATATTGACCCGAAATTGACCCAGAATAAAACCAAACCGACCAACTGTACAATGTGTGGTAAGATTTTTAGAACCTACCATCAATTAGTGCTCCACTCCAGAGTACACAGGAAAGGCAGGAAAAGTGTAGAGAATCCTCCAAATTCGGTTGATATCGGTGAAGCTGGCACTCAATCCATTGATTCCGTTAAAACGATTGAAGACCATAACCCAGAAACGGACAAACCTGAGGAGGGTTCTGAAGAGGGATCAGAAGATGGAGTACTAGGAGAAGGACTTTCATCAGGTAGGAGGGTTATACACTTACTGGGGTGCTTTCTCAAATTTGCTAATTCTCTCTTTTCAAAATTTGAAGGTCCCTGTTGAGTCTCTCTTTGTTTAGCCTTGGATAAGAATCTGTGCTAACTTCTGACACGGTATCTCACTCAGAACATCCAAATTTTGGGTGATGCTGTGGTATATTTAGTAACATTTCACAAAATTGAGTTATCGTTCCTTGTTCTGTATCGTTCTAAAATTATATCCCAAAGAAATATTTTTCTTGGTAAAAATGTAATTGAATTCTCCCTAAATAATACATCCTGAAGGCCAATGGGTTACCAATAATTTTTTTATCTATATCTTAAATTGTATTATTTTTAAATAAGAGGTGAGATTATAGTGCTGCAATATTTAAAGGACTTCAGTAGATTGTTATTCTTAGACTCCTTTTTGATGATTCCTTGCTATTCATTTCAAATTCAAATACAGATAATTGCAGTTGGAATATATTGCTTTAAGACTTCTCATTGTTTTGTTTCATTTCAAATGCTTTTTATATTATTGGCTTATTGATATAACTTCTAAACATTTATAATTAACACACATCCTCATTGAAAATTTGAGTTTCTAAGATTAAATTTTTAGTCCAAAGTAGGGGTGAATTTTTACTTAACATTTTGGAGAGATTGAAATCCTCCCTCTCCTGTTATCTTATCTTAGAATTGTCAGGTCAGAGAGACTGGTGCCAGGCTTGTCACAAACAAAGTAGCACAAAAGAAGCAGGAAAGTATTTTTCTTGAATTGTGAGCTGCTTTTGTAGTATTTTGTGGTTCTATGAATGAGTAGGTTTGCATCAAGACAAGTTTTGACTTCAGCGAGCAGGTGATAAGTACAAAGAGTTTTGATTTTTTTATTTGACAAAGTCAGTAATCAACTTTTACATGCAATCGACCACTTTTTGAGGTTATATAGTAATTAAAACCAGCTTTGCTTAAAAATCTTGTATATCCCATTACAGTTTCAATTGGTTTCTATATGTATGAGGAAGGGTCTAAACCATTTATTTAAAATCCAATTTGTGGGATTTGATCAAATATGTAATGAATATGTTTGGTGTTGCGAACTTTTGGTTTTGAATTTTTTTAAAACAAGTTATATTATTCAAATGAGTACAGATTGCTTCCATAGGGTCATGAGGAAAGGAAAAGAGTGTACAATACATTTTGCAAAAGCAGTAGTTTTTCTTTTCACTACGCAAGTAGCTCAGTATGACTACTGCTTTTTTTTTTGAAAAGAGGCATAATGTAGCTAAATTATGCTGTTTTTAAGTAAAATTTTATTGCTGTTTAAAGCTAAACCAAAAAGTCTAGTGTAATGTTGTTCTGATGCCTTTTGAAGTATGGGATAAATACGTTGAAAACAGCACTTGAAATAAACTGGTGTTCCCTATTTGTATCCTATGCATGCTACAAACTTGACTAGATGGAGCAGTTGGTTGTAAGTGAAGGGTTTCTCTCTGTGCAATAACTGAAAAATGTAGCTTCAACAAAAGCCAATAAAATACTTCAAAGAGCAAATTAATATGCAAAATGTAATAGGCATGAAGTTTGTTTGCACCAATTTTTTTTGGCATGCGCACACTTATGGGGGACATCTCAGTGGATCCAGTAATGGCCAATATGGTCTTCATGAGTGTAAGATATGAAGACATACCGTCTCCCTTGGGTTATTTTGCTTCTGCACTACTTTTCCCTGCAAGAGAGGAGAAAGTTTGTTAGTGAGTGTGGTGCATTGTATTTGGGTGATGTGGCTGGCTGTGGTGTGAGTTTGAGTGTCTCGTGACGCCCGTGTGTGTTAATAGGGGTTGTTTGTGGGGAAAGTGAAGAAGTGGTGAATTGAACAATGACTGAGGCTAATGGTGCTGGTATAACAACATTTGAAAATACATTTGCTGACCTTGACCAATGGTGTAAGACTGATCTATTTCGGGACCACATCCAGGCCATTGGGACTAGATTTTTGCATCAACCTTCATGATTATCAGTTTCCACTGTATCCTGGGTGACTCCTGGCTTCTGGATACAGGATATCTTTCAATTTTCTATCGTTTCCTCAAGGTACTATAACATAAGTCAAAAAGTCCTGAATCCTGTTTCTACATTATGCCATTATTTAATGTTAATGTTCCTCAAGTGAGATTCAGTTTATGCACCTGTCCCTTTTAAGCAGTGTCAGCTATTTGTGCTATTTTGTCTCTTCTCATATGTCAACCATTCAACAGCATGGTTAATTTGGGCTGGATGTTGAAATAATTGAAATGTGCAGAAATTTGGTATGCAGCTTGTGTTGCAGTCACTGGGTGTTGGTCAGTTTTGCAATATAAATTACTCACGTCATTTTGCAAGGACTTTGGAATTTACTCTCTCCCCTGATAACTTGGGTGTAGAATATCTATGGCAGAGTAAATTTTTGAAGACTACCCACTGCCACCTGATTAGTTGCAAAATGCATGTGGAAGAGTTTGCCAACATGGCATGCTGGTAGTACATGGATATGTTGCCATGCGCAATGCCTGATTTCATCTCATTTAGTGAGAGTACAATCTAATTTCATCTTGGTTGAAGTGCTACTGTTTGAACTGCTGTGTTTCCCATGAATTGTTTTATCAAAAAATTTGAAGCTGGTAGCTAATTTTGGTCATGTGACAGTGTCAATTGAACGTAATATGATTGCTTCCATGTGTTTTACAGTACTTGTATGACAGCAAATGACAGACCACGATGAATAAAACAACCACTTCCATCTAGATGAGAATAGTGTTTTATTTGGATATGCTTGGAAACCTCTTGACATCTTTACTGTAAAGATGCCAGAAATGTCTTGTTTGGCATTATTCTAATGACACAATCAAACTGAAATTAATTTCAATCAGTTTGAGGTTGGAACTGCCTTGAAACTGCAATTTTATAATGACTGGTGAAACTGACCAACTCCTAAACATTCACAGGGCAGTGACTGAGCAGACTTTTGCTGGTTAGTTTCATTGCTTCACCCTTTTTAATTGTCTTTGCTTACATTCTTCCACCTTTTTTTGGATTATTTGACAATTTCTTTTAACTTTATTCATTGCTCAAGAATAAAAATTTAAAGCTGCATACACTAGGAATTGGATAAAGCACTTTTGCATGTTTTCTGCTTTGTTCCTCTTTGAAGGTAGTCCCTTCGAAGGGCAATTTCCAAGTTACTTGTAGACCATTGCTTGCCAGTACTGCTGTAAGGAATATAATCTATTGGTTTTTCAGGATTGGGTGCATCTATCGTAACGCTACACAAATTAGTGTTTGGTTTTAGACATGGAATTTAATTTGTGCATTCTTTACATATTTTCTAACTTTCAATATGGAAAGCTACTTAGCTTATTTGCAAGCACATGTTCACTGTCTGATACAACAGTAGAATTGCACCATCTAGTGTAGTATTACTTTTTTACATGAAAAGCATTTTTCGATTTTTTTTTTTTTTTCCAAACTGCTGGCACCCTAGAAATGCATGTGACATTGCATTGCAGGCATTGATAAAGTGACCTTCAAATCCATAAATGTCAGATTATGATTATGGTGATGCCTATGTACTCTTGAACATTCTGCCCTGATTTTTGCATTTTAAAAAATGCCTTTTCAATTTTAAGGATATGCAGAATCGTATGGAATACCACAAAAGAGAACTGCAGCTTGTAGCAAAATGACCACAATTAATACAAATCACACCATGCCATATTCCTTACCATTGTGCTCTCACTGTTGTTGCATGTTGTGAAACTAAATTGAAGTTGCAAGCAAAGAATAAGGCCTGGAGTTTTGCTCCCGAGGTTGCTAGCACAATCTCAGTCAGTTCCTGGCTTGCCAAACCTGCCTTGGTTGGAAATATGTCAAATAGTGGATCTTTGTAGCAGCAGCTTACAATGGAGTAAGGGCAAAACGATGACTCGGTGGTTAGCACTGCGGCCTTGCAGCACCAGCGACCCAGGTTCAGTTCAGGCTCGGGTGACTGTGTGGAGTTTGCATGCTCTTCCCGTGTCTGTGTGGGTTTGCTCCTGGGTGCTCTGGTTTCCTCCCACAGTCTAAAGATGTGCAGGTTAAATGAATTGGCCATGCTAAATTGCCCATAGTTTCCTAGGCATGTGCAGGCTGGGTGTGGATCTGGGTGGGAGCTCTTTCGAGGGTCAGTGTGGACTGTAATGACTCTCTGAACTTGCTGCACCCCACAAATCTTGTTTTTCTTGGACTTCCTCTCAACTGTTGTGTTCATATTTTAGGCCCCATTCACCCAATCCCCTTGCACCTTCCATGCCTAATTAGTGTTTGGCTTTAATCATGTTTGAGTGATTTTGGCCTTTTTTGCCATAAGTTGTAATATTAAGGCTAATGTCCTTCAGGTGGCACCTGTTGAAGTTTAAGATAATCATAGTTTGCTAGTAGACGACATGTGATAATGTTTAGTGTCAGTTGATAAACCACATGATGATGAGTAATTTGGGAAAATGCTTCTGATTTGGTTAGAGATCCATCTAGTGATCACAGTTTGCAACTACATCATAAGAGTTGAAAAGAAAAAATCTCATGAATTTTTTTCATTTCTGAGATGAGTGATTGACGCCGGCATTGATTGTCCATTCCTTAGTTCCCATTAGGGTGACAGGGTCACCAATTAATGGCCAACATTTACAATGATAAATCTCAAATATTAGATTCAACTCCTACATTACTGTGGAATGTATATATTTTGTAGAATAACTTCTCATGACTTTTGGAAAATATTCAGCAGCAATATTTCCGTTTGTGTGTTTTAAAGTCCGTTTCTATATTTGTAATTCACTATCTAGTCATCCACAAGAGGAATAAATTTATAGATCAGTGCTGCATCTCATTGCTTTATCTTGAGGTATTATTGAAGTCCTTTTAAATTGACAGCATCCCTTTGGTGTATAAGAGGGGAGCTGAACTCAAATCTCAAACCACTGATGTCTAGACCTATAGAATACATTAGTTTTCAAATTGGACATAGCAACTTAAATTTAAAAATCAAAGTGAATTAAAATAGAGGCAAATTATGAACACTTGTTTTCAGTTGGTGTGTGAATGTAACTGGTCTGGTAAGCAGACAAATTGTAATTGAACATTGTAGGTTAGCATTTTAGAGTTTATAAACTAGTATTTGAGCATAGTTATACAAAAGCAAAACACTTGTTTTTGCTGGAAATATTAAATAAAGCAAAACATAATCCTGAAGAAGCTCAACAGGCAGCATCTTGAGAGAGGAACAGGGTTAATGTTTTGATCCATAGATAACTCTTCAAAGTAGTTCTAAAGAAGAGCCTTTGGACTCCACACTAACTTTGCTTTTCTCTCCATTGATTAAAGTTGAACATTGCCTAAGCAAAAGATACAATAGACAGTGCTGTGTTCCCAAGATAACATTCAAAATATACTGATTTTTAGTTACATTTACCTTTTTTTTTCTTGTTTTGTTTGGGAGAAGAAAGTGAGGGATTGCAGGTAGCATGAGAATTTTAGCCTGGAGTTGTCAACTGGCTTAGTGGTATACAGTTAAATCACTCTCGATTTGGCCTTCATCTATTGTTAGCTTTGATACTCTACTGTATATTTGGAAACAAATATATTTGTGGCTTTGTGAAATCTTGCCTTATATACTTGGATCCCAAAAAATAACTAAGTATGATTTAAAATTAAATTTCTTCTGTTTTCAAATTCTGTGTTTAATTACAAATGCATAATTTGAAAGTACTTTTGATATCGTAAATGTACCATTTTGCTGTAGATTCCACGTATAGCTGATTCACCTTCCTTGGATTGAAGAAAATTGTGTAGAATGAATGAAAGGAAATAGTTTAAAATGGTTTGCTCTTTTTCTCTTTCTAGATCGGAGTGAGGATGGCTCAGAACGAGGAAGAAGTAGAGAGACTGGCTCATCTGGTGAATGCAGTTACTGTGGAAAGTCTTTCCGCTCAAACTATTACCTCAATATTCATCTCAGGATACACACAGGTGTGACTGTCTTTTGTTTGTGAGGAACTCTCATTTTGTAACTGGCAGAAATGATAGGATTAAAATTATTGTTGGCCTCGCTGTGGGTGTAAGACATGACCAAGGCTCTTCCTGCACAGAGGTAGTGGCCCTATTTCCAGTCCAGAAGGTCCAAGTGCAAGTCCCACCTGTCCCGGAGGTGTGTCATAACAGATTGCTTAATATAACTATTAGGTATGACTATTACAAAGCCTTTGATAAAAGCTACATTGAACCTTTATGTGGAGTGACACCTGCAAAGAATATCTAAAGAGCTCACAACATCTCAAGGAGAAAGGCTTTTGAATTGATTCTATTTTGTGATTCGAAATCCATTTAATCAATTATGGATTCATTCTTCTGTTTTTCTGCTGTGGCCACAAAAGGGATTATTTCCTAATTTTATGAACAATGTTTCTTTTCCCCCGTATCTAACATTACATAAAAGGAGAATCTTAAAGTACTGGACAGTCATAGCTTCATCTATTAAATGCATGAATTATATTTACTGCCGTGCTGAACAATTATGGAGGACCTATTTAATGCATTCATATTTTACTTTGCATTTGATTGATCTTTCTGTGTGGAATTCTGTTTTGCACATGTGCTGTACTGTTCAGTAAAACCTCGTATGTAATATCTAGTCTTTCTCAAAGCTTGTGAATTTTGTACTGCAGTCCAGCACTAACTTTATGCTCAGTTCATCTCTCTTTAAAAGCCTTTTATCATGTCTTATCTTTGCTTTATGTACATTTTTATTGACTTAGCTTTTCTTGCTGACTTCAGTTCGTAAAGGCTTGGTATAATTTCAGACATTGTTCCGCCCTTTATAATTAAAAAGAAATCTTAACTACATGGTACGCTCCATAATTCTGAATCATAAAAACAATTCATTTTAAGTCTTCAGACGCACCCAATTTGCTTATTGCTAACCACATTTTTCAGCCACTTCCAGTTGAATGCTAAAATAAGACTTTGATAATTATGTATTTTTATTGTCATTTGTTCTTGTAATTAATTCTCTACCATTATCAGTATAAAAATCCATCAGCCTATTTACTTAAATCTTTCTGAAAGTTATCAAGGACTTATTAGCTTTTAGTAGTCATGGATAGACTAGCTTTTATGCTGTTGACCTGCTCCTTGTTACTTGTCTATTAGCTTTGACATCAGCCAATTTAGTGAAACCACATTTTCCCTAATTCACAAATAGTTGTCATATTTTTCCATAAATCTATCTGATCCATCTAGCTTCTCATTAAACCAATTCAGTTGTTAATACTTGTTGAAATAGTTAACTTCTCTGTTAACCTCTTGTGATGTACCTTGTTGATCTTCTGAAAATTGAAGGAAATTGCATACGGATTATTCTTGCTCACTTGAGCACTTCAATAATGATAATGTGCAAAGACAACAAACAAGATGAGCAAGGGGTGATTAAATGAACTTAAACTTAGTCTTTGGAGAGATGGAGAGTACTTTGGAAAAATAGAAGTGACGAGTCAAGACAATTGGTGGCATCTCTGCAGTTAATTATTTAAATTAATTACCTTCAAGAATTTTCTACTTTCTTCCACACATGATGCATATTGCAATAACTAGCCTTTAAAAGTGCATTGTTCCTCATTGCATTTGGTAATTAATTTTCCCTTTCCATTTATGGATTTAGGAAGTTTATTTTTGAATACAAAGTTTAAAAACACACTGAATTTCTACATTTTTTAGAAAAGCCACCAGTTGAAGCCATTGAGGCAGAGAGAGAGTTTAAGATGGTAACAAGGCAAGCTGCCAAGCTTACCAAACTAGCTGCCAATATGAAACAAACGATTATCTGGTCTTTGGGGGTTCTGATGCTGGTCATGTGTCTGCTGAGAGAATATAATTGAAAAATGGGATAACCGGCTTGGTTGGTTAACCTGCTAACACAGCCCTGAACAAGGAACAGTTTTGGAGATGGTGATATTTCATGTTTTGTGGAAATGCAGAAGGGAAACAAAGAGGAAGAGAATAGTGTAATATTGGTCAACTAGTTTGATCTGAACAAGCAGCTTTGTCTCGCCAGACCATAAATTAAAGGGCAGAATTGGGACATTGGGCTCAGCAAGTCTGCTCTGCCATTCAATCATGGCTGATGTGTTTCTCAACCCCATTCTCCTGCCTTCTCCTCATAACCCTTATCAATCAATGGCTTATCTATCTCTATCTTAATTACATTCAATGACTTGGCCTTCACACTGTTCTGTGTTCTACAGATTCACCACCCTCTGACTGAAGAAACTCCTCCTCATCTCAGCTCTAGAGGGTTGGCCCTACACTCTGTGGCTGTATCCTCAGGTCCTAATCTCTCTTAGTGAAAACATCTTCTCTGCGTCCACTTTATCCAGGCCGCTCGGTATTCTTTATTCAAATGAAGTGTCCCTCAACCTTCTAAACTCCCAAGTACAGACACCGAGTCCATAACAGCTCCCCTCCCAATATGACAGATGCTTCATCTCCGGGATCATTCTTGGAAACCTCCTCTGGAACCCGTCCAAGGGCAGTACGTTCCTTCTTTGGAAAAGGAGCAGCAATCTGCTCTCAATATTCCAAATGTGATCTGACAGCCTCAGCAGTACATCCCTAGTCTTGTATTCTAGTCCGTTGAAATGAATGCTAATGTTGCATTTGCCTAACTGCCAACTGAACCTATATGTTAACCTTAAGAGAATTCTGAACTAGGACTCCCAAGTCCCTTTTGAGTTTCACATTTGAGGCCTTTTCCCATTTAGAAAATAGTCTACACCACTATTCTTCCCACTACAGTGCATTAACTCTCATTTTCCCACATTTTTGTTCCACCTGTCACTTCTTTGTCTACTATCCTAGACTCTCAAGTCCATCTGCAGCCTCCCCATTTCCTCAGTGCTAACCCCTGCCCCTCATCCAGCTCTGCCATCTACAAACTTACCAACAGTGCCCTCAGTTCCTTTATCTAGACCATTTAATGTATAATGTGAATAGTTGTGGTCCCAGCATTGATCCCTGTGGAACTCCACTAGTCGCAGCTGCCATCCTGAAAAAGACCCCTTTATCCCCACTGTCTGCCTTCTGCCAGTCAGCCAATCCTGTATCCATGCCGGTACGTTGGCCCTAACAGCATTAGCTCCTGTGCGGCACCTTGTGAAAGCCTTTCTGAAAATCCAAATGGATCACGGGCTCTCCTTTTTGCCTAATTTGCTTGTTACCTCCTCGTGAGCAAACCTACTTCATCTCTGGACATCAAAACTAAATGATGTATAGGGAAAACTTTAAATCTGTCTCAATGTTGGACTTGTTACTTCCTGAGGGATCTGAAATTATTTACCACTGATCGTAAGCATGGACTGTAAATTGAAGCAGCGTCGGGTTTCATATCCAGACGTACATTGTTAAAGTTTACAGTTCACTGAATAATTGAACATTTTGTGTGGGAATGATTCCAATTAGACTAATATAGTCTGCGACTGTGATGGTGTAAAGGACAGAAATAGGGAAGAATTTTTGAAGTGTATTTAGGAGAATTTTCTTGATCAGTATTTTTCTGGGCCAATGAGGAAGGAGGCATTCCTGGATCTGGTTCTGTGGAATGAGATGGGTTAAGTGTCAAGAACCATTTGGGAAATGGTGATCAAAGTATCATAATGTTTAGGTTAGCCAGAGACAAGAATCGGAGCTAATTAGAGTGGGGTGAAGATGGAACTGCCCCAGTTGAATCAGAATCAAAGATTGTCCATGTGCTACCATTGGAGTGCGTTCTATAGTAGTCTAGTGGAATATCTGGACAGGTATTAGCTGGAAATGAAATCCCAGAAGCATGAAGTGGTAGGGAGGAGTGAAGAGAGTCGATTTTTAAAAAAGAAAAATAATTCTGGAAGAGAAACTGGAACCTTGGAATATATGTGAAATTGTTGAAGGTGGTAAGGATGGTTGAGGAAGTGGTTTAAAAAGGTCTGATAAATGCTGACAGGTTGGGAATTAGAGTACTCTGTCAGATTTTTATGGTAGTGATTCCAAGGATGAGGGACTTCAGTCAGGTGGATAGATTGGGGAAATATGGAACTATCCCTTTTGGAGGAGAGAACATGAGGAGGAATCTCTTTTTGCCACAACCACTATTCTTCTTGTCCTAACCAACAAAACAAACTTTTGAGTGGCAAAACTTTCTTCTCTGAGAGAGGAGTATTTCTGGTTTGTTTTGAAAGATGTTTTAATCTCATTCTTCCCTTCTCCCGGGTGAAGAAATGAGTCTGAAATGGTATTTCAACCAAGGGGTATATCTTGCAACAAATTGACTATTTTGCATGATTATGGTTAATACAAATTATTGGTAGGTTCTAATGTATAGAGCTGATCTATTTAAAATAATTAAAATCTGTTTTCTTTTGCTTTAGGTGAAAAGCCCCATCGGTGTCCTCTCTGTGACTACGCCGCAGCTCAAAAGACCTCACTTAAATATCACTTGGAGCGACACCACAAGGGTGAGCAGAAAAAGGCTGAAGAAAAGAACGATCCTCTGAAGAATTCATCAGCATCTCCCAAGTTGGAAGTAGTACCAAAAGGAAGTGATGAACCTGTTCAGGAATCTGTGGACTCGACAAGATTGTTTACAGATTCTTTGGGCAGTGCCAAAGATTTAGATGCAGATTTTCCTCCGAGGAAGCACAAAGAGCTTCCTCCTTCTTGTTCTGTGTTTACTAATGCTGTGTTTTCAAATGTGAGCAGGGAGCTTCCTGACTTGAACAGGGATGCTAGTTTGCATCATAATCGCCCAATCCTCTGCAATGCAGTGCTACCATACTGCAAAAAATCAAAGGGTGAAAAGATGATGGGTGAGTCGCACAAGAATGACTCTGATCCAAAGGTGGTTCTTGACACTGAAACATCAAATGTTTTGGAGGAATGTTTAATGGAAGGGTTGTCAGAAGGCGGCATTCAACAGAATAATGCTACAAATACAAGATGGGAGCCTGCTTCAATAAATGATCAATGCTATGCCAGTACTGTAGTTAAATTAGAGGACTTCGGTGATCAATCTGAATGCAGCTCTTTGGAAAATCCCTTGAATCTTTGCACGGTGATGTATCAGAAAAGTCTGTGTAGTGATGGTAGTCCTCTGGGAAATGCAGCTACCTCAGTTTCCAAGAGTGCCTTACTGAGCAATGCATGCCCATTTTGTACTTACAGAACTTTGTACCCAGAGGTCTTAGTGATGCACCAAAGGGTGGTGCATAAATACAATGCTGACCCAAGCCCAATAAATGGAATGCGAAGTGCTGTTTGCGGTGGGTCAGTTAAAAGCAGACGCACTGGATGCCCCCCTGCACTATTAGGTCAAGATGTTTCTTCTTTACTTGCCACCAAAGAAACAAACAGAGAATTTTCTCGTCGGACCAAGTCACCAGTACCAGCAACTTCACCAGATGCTTCAAACTTGCTGCTTGGGAAGGCAAAATCATCGTCATCATCGTCATCATCGTTATCATCTTTGTCATCATTACACCAGTCTCAGTGCAATAACCTTCTTCCCTCTGCAGCAGGATCCAGATCTTCAAGTGACTTTAAAACATTTAAAGCAACCCAAAATTCCAGTGCACATCTAGAAAATTATCGATCCATACATACTGAACTTAGACAGATGCCAGATGTAGTTCAAAGAATAGAAAGAAGTGGACCATCAGAACCTGTCAATAGTAAAAGAAATATCTCTGAAAGACCCTGTATCAAGTTGGACTATGAATCTGATGGACCGAGAGGATCTTTAGTTAGATTTGACAGTCTTTGGGCTTCAAATGTTAGCAAAATGTGTCTTGCTGATGTGTCTGAAAATCAGGGAGGCTTGGACTCACATGAGCCTACAGCTAAAAAAATGAAACTAAA